TGATCAATAACTGTACATAAATTACGGAACATATGGCCTTCGATGCTTGAGCGAACACCGGTCCAAGCCTTTGTAGCCCAATTTGTATTTACAGGAGTATATGTAAGTTTTATTGGTTGTCTTCAACGTGACTTTTAAATGTGATCAGTAGCAAGATGGTGGGACTCCATTGTTTATCTGACGAACCTAATGAATATTATTCTGCTTAAATTTTAACTGTCTTTAACCCTAAGTTAGACACTGTTTTTAATTAATTATAATAATATAAGAACTTACATATAATTTGTATTTCCCAATCTCCCCAATTCCTGAATCGCAACGATCCTCAAAATTCCTAATCCCCAAAACGCCGGTAACGCACTTTTAACGCCTCTGGTGTTCCAGGTGTCCATGGGCGACGCCGATTGCTTACCATCCGGTGATCCGAGAATTTTGTAGATTTATTTATTTATTTACATTCCTTTAAAGATACGATGACGTATCGATACGCATCTATGGTAGATATCTCTTAAAAGTATAAGAAAGAAGTATATTTAACAGCTTGATATTCAATACATCTTCGGAGGTTACGGAATAAAGGACGCAGTTAGAAACAATGTTAACAAGTTAAGTTAAAGTTGGGTAATACTGGGTACTTATAGCTAAGTGTTGTTTACTCTCCCCAATTTCCTCATTGAAAGCATGGCTACTATTGACATATTAAACGTAAAATTCGTTTACGTAAGTTACGGGAAATAGTTGAAAATGTTAAGGTAAAGAAGCCATAATATTCTGTTTCATTAAAATTTGTTTGTAATTAAGAGTGACCCTTAAGTAGCTTAAGCAAAAGTTTGTAAATCCAATAAGGGGTAAACATGGGGTACTGTGCCATTATGTAACAGTTTAACGAACTTTGAACTTTATTTGAATGTGTTTGGAGATTGTTTTCCCTTGTGAAATGTGTGTACTTAAAAATATTGAAACTAAGTTGTCGATACTCGTGTTTCGAGAAGTTTTACAAGGCCAAGGCAGAAAATATTGTCCGTCTCAGACCATTAGAACGAAATCGTCATAAATAAACATATAAGTTTTTTTAAATATCTGCTATAGATTTAGGGACTTTTGGTCACAATACGACCACGCCAACCCCAAACATATAAGTTGATAAAGGAATCGTCACAAATGAGCATCTAAGTTGATATTAATATTTTACACAAAATGTTTAATTTAAATTACTTAAAGTAGAAAATACTATAAATTACCAAATAACCTCTAAAATCTAAAGCTCGGTGTAAAATCTACAACTTCAAACCCGAAGAAACTTCTAAAACTTCAAAAAAAAAATACAGATTCAAACTTTTTTTTAGAAGCAACAGATGTAAGTCGAACAAAACCTACTTGAAACGAATTTAACGCTCGGAATACTTAAGCCATAGACAATTAATACCCCATATTAAAGCTACCTCAGCTTCCAAATTTAAAAAGGTAACCTCAAAACGTGAAATCAAGATGTTTTTCGCAAATCTTTTGAGAATAGACCCCCGATTAGAGGCATGAATAGTCTTGATATTTGTGCAGCTTTTGTAGTAGCATCAAGATGTTTTGATGTCATTACTATTGTTACTTTGTGTAAGGATCAAGTTGTCTAAGTATAGTGAAGTTAAATGATCAAGATTGAGTTTAATCTTTGTTTGAAGTAGATTTTTAGAAAAAAAATCGTAAAATTTTTAAAAACGGACAATATGCAAAATCTTTTAGTTGTAATTTTCAAAACAGATAGTTTTAATTATGATGCATTATTTATTATTTATTGCCCAAGAATCCAAAGTTGTTAATGCAGAATAGTAATTAAAATTTATTACTAAGAATGACGCGACACTTCAACAATATCTTTGTAAAAACTAAAGTAGCCAAAAAGAACAAATAATTTTATATGCCATTACACCCTTTCCGATTGATGTATTTATGACTATAATTAATGAGTGCAATACATTAAATGCTGATTGATTGATAAAAGGTATCGTCAATAATATAATTTAACGCTTTTTGCGGCTTTAGATTGTATTTTTATTTGACCGTAACGGCAATCTTGATTTTAGCACAGCAATAAAGTTATTGTGGTTCTTAGGGCTTTGACAGATGAGTAAATAGGATTAAGTAATTATAAAACAATGCACAAATTTATTTTTTTTATTTAGTAGTCGCGCTGTCCCTACTTTAACATTTTGGTGCCTTGCTAGTTAAAAAAAAAAACGGCACCATAGGCTAAAAATTGGCGGTAAATACTATTGCTCTATTCAAAATATTCATAATTCGAATAGCAATTGACAGAATGCTCCACGATTAATATATATTTTTTTAAATAGAAGTATTTAGACATACAAATCGACTATACAGTCTTGTCGGCTCACTTAATGTTGCCAGTGGTAATAAAAATTTAAGGTGTTGTAAATAATCCGGATTGCCGTCAATATATCCTCGGTTTGATTCACGGCTGAGGCTCGGGCGTTTGTTTTAAAATATTTATTAGCAGCTAGAGACATTTTGTCAAATGCGCAGTTAATTAGTTTGTGAATCGGTTGGTGGCTGTCTAAATTATTGTGGACATTCCTTTCGGCTCTGTCAGGTTTTGGAATAAAGTTCTTTTTACTTTTGCTTTGTGTGATCCACAAATTATTGTTCCGAGTCTGGGTGTCATGTGTATGTGAACTTGTATGTTCACGACACAGGAGACGTAAACGCACCCACAACCCAGGAGAAAACTCTAGTGTGGGGCAAAGTTTAAAAAACGCCCCATATAAAGCCAGTATCAATATAAAAAATAAATAAGTCATAAGCGACAATTACTTCAAGAAAATTATATAGACATCAATTGCTCTATATACTACACTTTATATAGTATAATTGAAAATTATTAAGTCATCAAAGGTTATTATCTAGACTAGGTAATACTATATATTTCAACCTGTTGTTTAGTTGATATAGTTTACCTATAAATATGCTAAATCTAGATCGTTCTGGAATTTATATTGCGTAATGATTAGCTTGGTATTAGTGAAGACTATAACATCTTGTAGATAAAAGGTTTGATTGAGTTATTTTATTTTTTTTAATGTTAAAAATATATATTTTGTATATTCAAATGACGTAAGTACTGTCGATATGGGAAAGGGGAAGCTATCATGTTCTCCCTTAAGTGATTAGTTTCGACTATATTTTGGATTCTATGAATATAGAACACATGTCCATAAAGCTTTGCCCAATTCGTGTATCTTACTAAAATTAATTTGAAACCCCTTGGACTACAAGGCACTGTTATAAAACATATTATTTTTTATCACCGCTTAAAAACAATAACCATAGACACCAAACTTTGAATTATTTTTTTTACACACAGCAAAGGGCAAAACTTAAACAGCCTAATATTTCAAATTAATCGTTACTAACGATTGTGTCGATAATATCTATATGAAATATTGATGGCCGTCCAAAAATCGGCATGTTCGTCAGAGTAGGGGACGAAAAAAAAGTTTAAAAACAAAACACATCTATCTTGTCAAACTGTTTTTTGTGTTAGAGAACGGGGCTTTTGGGACAGAAAACAATAGGAATGTTCTTTAATTATAGTTTTTTGTTGAATACGGTATTTATGTATTACGTTTATTAATAAACAACATCGTGTGTTTTATAAAATTAAATATTCTCTTGCAATTTACAAGACGGAAGAAAAATCCATAAAGGAGTTAAGTACGTGTCACTTATTTTTATGGTTCATCATAAACAAATAATAACAAACAATACATTCATACGCGACAGATGAAAAATACGTAAAAATACATCATTCGCATCGACGTAGTCAGCTGTTGTCAAAATTCTACGCATACCTCTGCCGCGACCGTCGTTATTTCAATTACCTACGCCCCTCGTCAAAGACAAAAGGCCTGACATCCCGAAAAAAGGAAACAAAAAAAAATACAAGCGCCCATCGAGTGAATTAAAAAAACAATTGTGTTATCTATGATTGGATCGCGGTCGTGTAAACGGTCAAGTGTAAGTTACTAAAAGAACCCGCCTTTTTCTTAACAGTAGCGGTTGTTCGTTTTTTGAAAATGGACAGTGCAATTTTTTTTTTCTAATGTCATTCCGAATCGAATTTCGGGTGGTTCCTATTTTGAATGGTGGGTTGTCTTTGTCCAGACATCTAATTACTGTGATTGACAGCTTTCATGTTCATTTTGACAGATGGATACTTTTTGGCGCCAATAATACTTAAACATTTTTTTAAATATATTATGTTTTGCAATATCTGTAGAATGCTAATTAAAAATAATATGTAAACACTCACGACATATCATCACATCCGCAACGAATAAACAATAAATTAACAACAAAATGATACAAAAATTAAAACCTGTCAAAGAAACATAAGACTCCCTATCAACACGCTATAAAAAAACATCTGAAGTGTACGTTTAACATGGTGATAATGTATAGAATGAGGTAAGACGATGGGCACCCAATGTAAATATCAGTAATAACCGTGACTTGGACAAAGGGACCCCGCAGACATCGCCAGGGGTCCTACAGACCCAACCTCGTTTTAATTATAATATCACCCACATTATAAACCTTTTTGTTGTAAATATAATACAAAAAATGATCAGACTGCTACTTTTCGGATGCAGTTGTAATTCTATTGTTGGTAACTATTTTTGTGTGTAAGTTGTTCGTTGATAACTAAGGATGCGTGAAGTGATGTATTATGTGGGCTTAGGAGCCGTGGTTTGGTAAAGGAACCGAAGTTTTTGATGTCTTGTAACATTTTGAAGTGTCTGTCTATATTTATAGTTTGTATAAGCCACTGTTCTGATGTTTAGAAAGATTTTTTTAATTTTATTGATTAATTTTATTTCTCTGGCGATCTTATTGTGATATTCAATTTTATGTTCTACATTACTAAGTGAAAAAATCGAGTTCCTTTCATCCACAACTCCGCAGCTAAAAAAGAAGTCGGTACTCACGAAACCATGCTTGTCACTAATATTGTTCGTCAGTTTCAGTTTGTGGAAGGACACCACCTTCTGCATCCACTGCTCGCCTGTCGACGGCGAGTCGGGGTGGATGTACATCCTCTTCGGCATCTCAGGGTCAGCCTTCCCAGCCACCATCCACCGACTCCGAGAACAAACGGACAAATTCAAGAACACACGAAAACCTTCGCCTTCCACTAAATTGACTTAATAAACCAATTATATCAATCAAAGAATTCTTTTCATAATTGTAAGAAAGTACTGACCGATTGACACGAATTTTTTAATAGTTCATTAGTTAATGAAAATTCTCGATACAATTGATTGATCATCACTGGTATTAGAAATCAATTTTAATTTGGCGATATAATGATTTACTTCGAAAGCAACCTTGTGATCGTTCTCAAGCGTTAGACATGCAGTGTATAATAATGAAATACATGCTATAAGTGATAATAATAAGCTACAAAATGCTACTAACAACGGTGCATATGAAACAATGTGAATGAAAGATCTGCGTGCAACGATTATTCATACCGGAATGTGCGATGTCAAAACAAAATGTATGTAAAATGTAACAGAATATGATAATCCGTTTAAAAATTGGACTCAAATCCCCAACGATGGAATCTCGTCGCAAAATGTAACTCGCAAAAGAAAGAGCAGTAAATATCGGTGGCATTGTCCCGAGCCCTGGCCTGAACGCAGATCTCAAACATCACACATGATTGCAACAATACGCATGCTTCTTGCCTCACGTTTATCAACGAATTACATTAAAATAAGATCAACTATCTTAGGCCCGTGTTCTACAATTTTCTTATTTTAATTTAATTCCATCTCTTTATTTATACCTGTTGTGGAATTTGTATCTGCAATCGTCGGCAGCTACGATGTCCATTAGCAAAATGTATTTTGCTTTTTTATCAAGACCAGAAACGCGAAGTTTGTAGGCAGGAAACATACGTCTGCAAGCAATCGAGAGAAAAACATGGGTTGGGACTTGTTCTTTTGCGACAACGATTTGACATCACGTCGATTGTGAGACATGTTGCTGAACTAGTTTCACTTTTTATGTTCATGTACTAAGAAACGCGTGTTTAGCTTGTGATCTTACGCCGTTTTTAATTAGCTTTTATTCATTTCATATCGCCTTCATAGACTGGTGACCGACAGGTTTATAGCCGAATGGATTATTCATTAGACCGCTCGAGTTTCGCATTGTTTTTCGTCTAATCAGAGCTACGCGATGAGGTGTCATAAACCATTTGCGACAACAAAAAGCCCATGTTTCCGCCACGAACGACCAAAAATGGTGAGGAGCGCGTCCATTGTGCGGTTTTGCAGTGTCGCGAATCGTGACCAACGCACGTGATCAAATGCGGTGTTACACCAACTTACAAGAATACTTCACCGATATAAGCAAGTCCAAGAAAAAAACCGTCTGGACCTCGTTTAGAATCCCATCTCGTAATTGGTAAGTAATTTATGTACGAAAGATTTGTAATAATTAATTACCATATTAACGGCGCTAGGCGGCCGCCTTTGTCGGCGTCTGTATCGGTTTACGGCTGACTCACAGTCGCATTTTGGACCGGAATGCTCGGGTCGTATTAATTAACGGATATTAAATCGAAGTTTATCGGCCGCATCTCGATGTTGCCAAACCTGCGCCCGTTTGATACTCCGAGTCGATCCGACTAAGCGAAGGATCGAACCTTATCGCAGCTTGTCATCGGGAATCAAACAATGTACGATCAAATACGATGATTATCGATTTCAGATGCAGCTCTGAGGGATGTGCACAGCACCCGGAAGATTCGTCTTATTTTTTGTCATCGAGATCTCCCAAGGAGATTGTCGCCGCGAGTTCAGCTCCAATTTTAGTTAATTTGGTAGAACAGTACGAGTCGCGTCGGTATTTCTCACCTCTGGTGTCGGCCCGGCTTTTTACATTACCGCTGCGGCGTTTGAGACAAAGATATTTTAATGATATTACCCATTGGATGCGAGTTGAATCCTTAATCGTCGGATCCTGGCGGAGTCCAGTTGTCGTGCGATGTCGTTGCCCTTAAATTAAGCGTGTTTCGTACAAATTGTTTGAGCGCAATTAACTAACGCATCGGAATCGTTTCGTGATGGGAACTAGTGCATTGCGTGGGGAGAATCACAAGCTAAATGAAAACAAGCGTGTAACGGAACGCTGTTAGAATGGAATGAGCATCTCCAATCAACGGTGATATCTATAAACGTGGAGCCGACAATGTGGCGTCAGGGCGACGCCAAATTCTCGGCCGATGTACATTGAGAAGCAGACACGTGGAGACGAGGGAGGTGATGTAGTCCAGCAGGCAATGATTGTGGGTCTACCTGTTGTGGAACTTATATCTGTAGTCGTCTGCGGCGACGATGTCCAGCAGAAGGATGTATTTGGCCTTCGCGTCTAGTCCAGAGACGCGGAACTTCATTTGAGGGAACATTTGTCTGCAAATTGTAAAGTTTGCTGAATAATGTCCCAAGTTTGATTTTTGCTGTAAGGATACACAGAAACAACTTATATCTAAGTAAGTGATCGTTGACGCTCGCTACCTGTGCCTTATGAGAACAGATAAACTTATTATACAATAGTTGTGTGTGATACGAACTTAATGGAATGAGCTATTTATAGATAATTTCGGAGAATTTACCCTACTTACTAACTTAACGTGTCGTTGTGTGTCGATCGCACTTCTTATGATTGTTAATTATTAATGAATCTAAGGTATTTAAACCCTTACATTCCCCTAATATCTCTAAAATAAGAGATTTCTTAATCAAACTAAAGCCGAAATTGGTACACACAGATACGATTATTACTGGGTAACTATGAAATAGAGCTCGGGAAATCTTGACATCGTCATGAAGTGTTCCATCTAGGAAGCGAAGGCTTCGAACAAGGATAATCAGAGTCTGACCAACTCATTAGGACCTTATTTATAGACTCTACGTGATGTTTAACCGACAGCTTGATAGATGTCGTGCCTTCTCCATACATGATCTGAATGCAGATTTTATAACTTATGCTAACCGTACACGCATCTCTTTCTTTCATCTCAAATTAAACAGAGAGCGTAGTTTCACCGTTGTACCAGCTATCTTTTAGTATCTGATTTTGAACACTGAGTGGATTTTGAAATCAGGTGTTTAGTGCATCCGGTTGCGGTGGTTTTTTTATTGTTTGTATGTTTTAGTCCTGTTACACGACCTTGTAATTTAGATACATTAAAGACTCTATTGAAATTGCCATTACAATACAAGGACGGTGAAAATAGGTGGACATAATTAGCAAATCATTGAAGCACCAAAATGACAGTGCTTTATTTATGTAACATAACATAACATCACGCCTGTATAAGATACTAGTTAATATTTAAAAGGATTGAGTGTCTTAGTTTAAAGTTCTAGGCTCTTAGACAAACAACAGTAAAGGAAATAATGTTGATCGCTTAATAAAAAAATGATACTTTCACTATTAATCGACCATTGGAGTATATAAACATAATAATCTCGAAATATATTCCACTTGATGGTAAACATGTAACTCTTATTGTTATGAAAATAGAGTTCAAATTCATATATATTTTAATAAACAATATTTTATCATAGCTTAACATAATAGTTACGAGTACTTAATCTATTCAATTAATACTATTCTAATTAACATTTTAACAATCAATTGTATGTGAGTTTCAAGTGTATAATCAAATGCCTATAATATATAAAATTATTACAATCAGAATCAATCGATTCATAAATTAATTAGTACCGATATGTTTTTTTTTAACCCTGACTTTACTGTAAAAAACAAGTGATTATTTATGGTAACAAATCTGTCAATAGAAATATTATTTATTGTTTGTTTGATGTAGTTATCAACAGAATGTTTACATTGATACCTATATCAGATTATTTGCTATTTTCTTTGGGTTGTTCAATTACAGACTGATTACGACTCAGTAAGTATACTTAGGCAAATACAATTGTAAAATGAAGTATAAAAAACCACGAAGGTTAGTTTGGCACCAAAAACTATTGGCTGAACTTTTATCCTTTTACCATATCTGTAAAACTGTCACTAAATAAATAGAGCGGGAAAAAGGAGTAAAATGTCTGCTTTGACAAATATGACAGTTTTCTTTCGACCATAGACTATACTAGCTGTAACAAACAGTTGTTTTTACATGTTGTGTTGTTAACATTTACCCAATTATGACAGCATAATATTACTGGGTACTTTCCTAAATCAAAAATAAATTATTTCGACTGTTCAATACGATATAATATTAAAAAATAATCACACTTTCATTAATTGATTTTATGACCAATTTAGTTTTAGTATTTTTCAGCAAGTTTTTTACGAAATAAGCACGCTGTTTGACGCTAAAAAACGTGACGTCACAATACACAATCTCGTACAAAATTCATAGAAAACTGTCGTTTTTGACAGTTCGAAAAAAGTATTGAATTTGACTAGTTGGCAAGCCAATTATAGACTTTCATTTGACAACTGACTAACGTGACAGTTTGACGTATGTAGTTCTAAATGTTTTATTAACTAAATGGCCGTTATACGTTTTTATTTATTTATAGATATAGTTGTAAGTTGTAACTCTATCCAATCGTTGTCGCTTGCAACCACTGTGTAACATAATATGGGCCGTTATTTGCAAACCTGTAGCTCGTCGATTTATTCTACTTTACGCTTTGATTTTGTAAAGGAAAGTAAGAAAATATTGATGCAAGTTCACGTTATGACAGTACAGTTCCCCTAAGTGTAGACAGAAGTGTTCTTGTAGGAATGTTGGCTGTTGTAAGCTAGTAAAAGAAGCGTTTTGCCAAATATCACACGTTAAAATATGGGTTTTGGAATTGAAGTAAATTGTAATCTGTCTTGTCTAATCGAATCAGTGACGGTAAGTTCAGCAATCGGATGTCCGACAACTCCATAACAAACTTAATTAGTACCTAAGTCAAAATATTTATTTCATTTTTACCATTTACGGAATGCTAATTATGATAAACTAACTTCTACCCGCGACTTCGTACGCGCAATCCCGTTTTCTCCCTTTCCCATTAGATTTTCAGTATTTTTTTCCTATCATAAGAACTTTCTCCTAACAATAACAAATACAACAAAAAAAAATCAGCCAAATTGGTCTAGCCGTTCTCAAGTTATGGCGTGACAACGGGAAATGGGTTTAATTTTTATATATATATATATATAGACAATAAGTAAATTACTAGTTTAAAAAATATAAGAAAAAAAGTACTAACACATCCATTTTCAAACTAAACATTATAAAATCAAGAATTCAAAAAGCAGCCACCATTTTCCTTTATAACACGGCTTTGAAAGCGAACTATTATTACAAGGAACTACAACGCATATAAACTGTATGTAACTAAATATAAAATAACTGACTTCCTGGACGACAAGTTTTGGCCATCAGGAATATCGTTCAGGCGTTTTCTGAACCTATCTCAGAATAAAAACAGGAGACAGGGCCTTGAAAATCGTAGTTCAGAAAGACAGATTAATACAAATATTTGTTAAAATTGAATTAATTAATTAATAATAATTATGGATTGCTACAGTGAAATAATAAGTTTTAACTGTAAATCTTTGAAGAGATCTTTAGAAGGAATCAGGACGTTATGCGTAACAGCTGACGTGCTAGCCCTTCAGGAAACCTGGCTGCTTCCGCATGACTTGCCGCTGCTTAATACAATCGACGACGGGTTCGGGTGCACCGGCACGTCTGCGGTCGACACTACGGAGGGTGTACTCAGCGGGAGGCCCTATGGCGGCGTCGCGCTGTTGTGGCGTAAAAGTGCGTTCGAATCTGTGTCCGTGATTGAGTGTAGTAACGTGCGGGTCTGTGCGATAAAGATAACCGTAGGCGGTAGGTCAGCGGTACTTTTTAGTGTATATATGCCTACTAACTCCTATGACAATCTACCCGAATTTACCGCGTGTTTTAGTGCGATTCGGTCGGTAGTTGAAGTGGAGGAGAACAATGGTGTTGAGGCCTTTTATATATTGGGCGACTTTAATGCTCATCCAAATGAGTTGTTTCATAATGAAATGTTAGCTTTATGTGAGGATTTTGAATGGCTTTGTATAGATTTAAACATGTGCTCTGAAACTACCTATACATTTTATAGTGAAGCTCACGGTTGTACTAGGTGGTTGGACCACTGCATTGTTACAAAATCAGCTCGGGAGTCAGTCGTTGGTGTGACTGTACGTCATGACGTGTATTGGTCTGACCACTTTCCTCTTGTGGTTAAATGTAATATGTATAAGCTTAAACCTAAAGTTAATGATCTGTATACGGAAAAACCCATAAATCGTGTCGTGTGGGGCGAGAGACAGATACAACAGATTAATAAATATCATGAAATTTGTCATTCACAATTACGGTTGATAGATTTTCCACAGGAGTTGAGTGAATGTTGTGATGGTTTTTGCGCAAACAAAGATCATCATACAATCCTTACTAGAATGTATGAGCAAGTTATATGTACGCTGTCTCGCGCGGCCATTCAAACACATAGGGAAAAGTGTCCCAGAAGGGGAGGTTATGTTATAGGGTGGAACAAGCACGTGGCGGACTCACATCGGAGGGCGCGGCTTGGATTTCGATTGTGGAATCTGACTGGGCGACCAGCAAATGGTCGAATCTTTGATGAGATGTCGGAGGCAAGGAGACATTTTAAAGCGAAATTAAAAAGGTGTCAGGATAGACAAGAGCAATTTAAAATGGATCTCCTTGCAACTGATCACTCTTCCAAGGATTTTAAAAGTTTTTGGAAACATACCAACAAAATGAATGTCAGGCCTAGCTTTCCGATGAGTGTCGGTGGTTCTGCTGACCACAAGGACATAGCGGAAGTCTTTAGGGAGCATTTTGCGGTACGGTCACCCTTGGGTCCCACAGCTGGTGAGGTGGGAGATGGTGAGCCCATTGTGACGGGGCAGAATATAAAAATATCAGCTAAGAGTGTCACTAAAGTTATTAGCGGAATGAAGCGTGGAAGGTCTCCTGGTCACGATGGGCTCAGTATCGAGCATTTTAAATATGCAGGGGTTCATTTGCCGCGAGTATTGTCCATGTTTTTTAGCCTTTGTGTCGGACACTCGTACTTGCCAGAACCGCTAATGCGGACAATAGTTGTCCCTATAGTAAAAAACAAGACGGGTGATACGTCCGACATAAATAACTATCGACCCATCTCACTCGCGACCACTACAGCAAAGGTGCTTGACGGTTTGTTGAACAGTCGCCTCACTGCACAGATTGAGTTGCACGACGCCCAGTTTGGGTTTAAAGCTGGATTCTCAACAGAGAGCGCTATTCTGAGTCTGAAGAGGACGGTCATGTACTACACTGCCAGGAGGACGCCGGTATATGCGTGTTTCCTCGACTTGTCAAAAGCTTTTGATCTAGTATCTTATGATATACTGTGGGGCAAGTTGGGGAGCGCGGGTGTGTCGGCACAGTATACCTCCCTTCTCAAGTACTGGTACTCCAATCAAAAGAACCGGGTGAGGTGGGTAGGTACTCTGTCAGACGAGTACAGACTAGAATGCGGAGTTAGACAAGGGGGGTTAAGCTCGCCTTTGCTATTTAACTTGTACATTAACCAGCTTATCGAGCGACTGAGCAGTACACATGTTGGCTGCCATATTGATGGAACATGTGTCAATAATATAAGTTATGCGGACGATATGGTACTGCTCAGTCCATCGATAGGTGGGTTGAAAAAGCTGCTGTCAATCTGCGAGGCCTATGCGGAGGAACACGGCTTGATATATAACTCGAGGAAGAGTGAGCTCCTCGTATTTGAAGCACCCAAGCAACAACCACGCAGTGTTCCACCCGTAAGTCTCAACGGAGTGGCATTAAAAATTGTTAGCTGTTTTAAGTATCTTGGCCACGTTGTTACAAGTGACTTAAGGGACGATGGAGATATTGAGAGGGAGCGCAGGGC